ATTTTGGTGTAAAACGACCTGTCCATGGCCTCCTTCTCAGCAGAAAGCAAGAGATGCTCGAAAACAAAAGCAGAAAGGTCATTGACTCGTGAGGCGAGGCAAACGGAGGGTGAGGAAGTCCCTTTGTTGCAGCTAAACAGAAGGAAAAGGGATTTTAGATGAAATTCTTTCACCAGCTTGTATGCTTGCAGCTCATTCTTTCATGTGGGGCTTTTGGTTGTGGTTAGTAGGTGCCTGTTTGTAAGCCAGGACCGTTAGCTATTAGCTAATGCTCCTGTTCAGCACAATTTAAACTGATGTGATCCTATTGGACATAATCATGCAGGACAATGAGTATGTTGAGCTGAAAAACGTCGCTCATGTATGTGCTGTGACACGGGTACACGTACAACCGGCCACCTGCCACTAGCAACACATCAGATTATAATGAGCTGAAGGAGCTCACAACAATGTAGAAGTTTGTGTGTATGATGATTCAGCAATACATCGCTTCCCTTTGTGCTACCATGACGTTATGATTATTAACTCATTCACTGCCAGCCATTGGCAGTGAATGAGTTAAACCCATTGACTCATGCACTGCAATTGACGGCTATAGACGTCAATGGCAGTGAATGAGTTAATACATTTAAAGTAAACCAAAAGTTTAAAATATGCAGTACTGTGCAAAAGCCAGACTTTTTTCCTTTTTGTGATTTTTTTTTTATTTTTTTTTTTTTAAGTCCTTCAGCCTTTCTGAAAATCTTTCGGCGCTTTTCTTGGGACATTCTTTACTTTTTCTCTCATGTTCAGCCCAGTTTTTGTATCTGACCAATGGTACACCAGAATCAATTTTAAATAGCATCTTTAGGCACTTTGTTCCGAGCAGCCGCTTGCAAAAAAAAAAAAAAAATCATTTGTTCCCATTTCTTTAGTTGAATCTACAAAAAAATGTCAAAGAGACACAGTTTGACAGATATAAAATTGTATTTTTGCACCAACAAGATGATTCCCAAAGAGCTATTAAATGAAAAGTTGACATGTGTCCTTAAAAACTTGAGGAAATTGGATAAGTGAAGGACAAAAGAAGAACTATCAAGCCTGATAAAAAATATAACTACAGCAGATGAAAATTATCTGAAAGTCATGTCCTTGAGAAATATGGGGGAAAATCTAGCAAAGACCTGACAGAGGATGTGAGAGATGCATCGTCCTCTTCAGTGGAGGGACAAAAGGGGCTGAGGTATGCCAGATTACACAGGAGCTTGATTGGAAATCATTGACAACGGTTTTTATGGAGTTCTGAATCCAAATGTGACATTCTTGAATCAAATCATTGATTGCAGCACCGTTAGCTAATGGTGTTAGCTGTGTTAGTTAGCACTAACTGTGTTAGTTAGCGGTGTTAGCTATTAGCCATTAGCTGTACGTTGAGTATCTACAGCCATCTGTAAAATGGCGTTTGGCGCTAACTTTGTTAGTTAGCGGTGTTAGCTATTAGTCAAAGGAGCTTGCAAAGAAAAGCGTCTGGACTTCTTTAAGTTGCTTGAAGACGTTTCACCTCTCATCCGAGAAGCTTCTTCAGTTCTAAGGTCAAATGGTGGAGAGTCCCAGATATAAACCTAGTGGGAGTATCCCCCCACAGAGGGACAAAAGGACCCCCTGATGATCCTCTAATCGCCTGAGCCAAGGTGTGAAACTGGGTGTGGGTCCCAATCAGCCAGAGTTTCGGGTGAGTTCATTGTGAAACCTGGCCCCACCTTATCATGCGAATTCCTGAGGTCAGATGGCCCAGGATGTGAGTGGGCGTTAAGGCGTCTGGGGAAGGGATCTCAAAACTGGATTATAGATGGCAGAGAGTTGGTGTCGTAAACCCCCGCCTCTGTTCAAAGATGGTCGCTCACAGTGGACATAGATGCTTCTTTCACTCCTCTTTCAAACCATCTGTCCTCTCTGTCCAAAATGTGAACATTGGCATCCTCGAAAGAGTGTCCTTTATCCTTAAGATGCAGATGGACTGCTGAGTCTTGTCCTGTGGAGGTGGCTCTTCTTGACTGAGAACCTTCACAGACATGTTAGCTATTAGCCATTAGCTATACGGTGAGTGTCTACGGCCATCTTTAAAACACGGTGGAGGCTCTGTCATGGTTTGGGGCTCAAAGAAGTGGGAAGAAGTTCTGATTGGCAACAGCTTCTTTTTTCAGCATTAAATGAGTAAAAGCATACCCGGATAGAAAAGCATACAGCTGAACACTCTCAGTCATGGATTAGCCTCCCCAGAGCCTGAACTTTAACATTATTGAATCATTATCTTCTTCCATTACACAAGTATCATCATGCATTGACACTTGCGGTAGTATTAAATGTTGCAGAACTGCTGTATTGTAATGCTATTGATTGTTATAGTGAGCATTGTGATACTGTGGCATGACTAACTGTATTCCCCATTCTCCACAGTACTCAGTGGCAAAACAGGTGACTGTACGATTTGACATATTTAAGCAAGGAAGATTCTTCCCCGAGATTGCTTTTCTTTGTGCGCACCAGATAAAACTCACCTTTGAAGAGCAGCACGATGTAACCGGTGGCAAGATTAATATGAACACAGCACGCTCTCTTATCTCTCCAGTGCTCGAGTATGCCAGCTCATTCAACAGATTTGATTACTCCTCAGTTTACATTTCCCTCACCCCTTCTTGCTTACCTAGCTATCAAGCTGGAGAACTGATGTCGTGCAGAATGCCAAACAGACTGAAGCTGTTTCCAGGTAATGAACAAGAGATGCAGACCCAGGTATTACACAATCGCATAATGTCCCCATTTCAGTCTTTTTGATGGGGGATATGGACGAAGGCCAAAATAATTAAACCCATGCCGACTGTATGCCCGGGTATAAACTCATTGTACACACAGTGGAGTGTAAAGCTCTTTTTTTTTTCCTTGGTTTTGTTTGTTTCTCAGTTCCTGTGGCTTTTTCGAAAGGGAAGCATGTTTGTTCAGAGATAAACCAAGGTTGCTGTGCTGTTCCTCCCCCTTATCTCTGATTCATAAGCCAGATGGGTCCTCTTCTTCCTCTACATTCTCCTTCTGCTTGTTTTTTTTTTTGCCTTGCAATTTGAGTTCTCCGCCTCCTTTTCTTTCTCCCATGTCCAATTTTGAATTTAGCCTTCCATCTTCCATAAAATTCTCCTCCTTTGCTTCCCTCTCCCATTTGATTTTTAACAGTTTCTCTAATCTCTCTTCAGAGCATCAAAAAAATCAAAAAACTAATGATTTGGTGCGTTTTAGAGCGATTCATGGACGCAGAGCCTTTTAAAGCAGCGGTCCCCAACCCCCGGGCCACGGACCGGTACCGGTCCGTGAGTCATTTGGTACCGGGCCGTGAGAGTGAGACTCGGGTGTGAAATGTATGGTTTTCAGGGTTTTTATCGGTTTTCAGCGTTATTTTGTTATCGTTTTTATCGTTAATTCGGTTTTCCTGGGTCTTTTCACGTGTGTTATGAATAAATCTTTTTTTTCGGTACCAGGTACTAGTTTTATTTTGTTGTATTTATCCGCGACACCTTAAAGGCCGGTCCGTGAAAATATTGTCGGGCACAAACCGGTCCGTGGCGCAAAAAAGGTTGGAGACCGCTGCTCTAAAGTAATCTGACATATAATACAAGTGAGAAAGAATGAGTGTAATATGTATAGAGGTACATACTATGTTTGCCCAAAGCTCACACATCAAGCTGTTTGTACACAAGGGCAGATAACCAGTGTAGCTGGGGTGGGTGGTGTTGGTAAACTGCATTTCAGTCCAGGGGTCTCAATTGCACTTTATCAAGGATCACTCTACTAATTAGCAGTGTTAGCTCTTTAAATAAGCAGGGCTAAAGCAGCTTGGGGTCGTTTTGTGTGTGTGTGTGTGTGTGTGTGTGTGTGCATCACTCTGCACAAGGTGGAGTGTATTCATAGCAATGTGTCGCACCCTCGCTTAATTGGTTGTTTGAATGTACCCATTTATCCACAGAAGGGTATCTAATTAGGGTCCTTTGACATTAGAAACAGCTTTCCCCAGCTTTGGCAGGGGTGTAGATTTCAGCCAGGCTTCCCATAGCTAGGCTTAATTGACTATTATGATAAGAGTTGGGGGGAATGTGCTCCACGGTGGAGTGGATAGATACCACATGCAGAACGCTCTCTAGCTTTGTTGGGGTTTTTTAATGGATGAGTTTTTTCTGGGGCGGGTCAGCCGGAGTCTGCCTGTCTGTCTGTGGTCAGCCTTTCCACTCAGGATGCTCCACGGCACGCGGGCAAAGCAAAGTGCTTTTATATCCTTTCAGACAGTAAATAAAATAAAAGCCACTGCACCTGTTTTGCATGAGCCTGCATCAACAAACATTGCCTTTAGGTTATCTCTGCATTATTAAAGCTACACAGTGTTTGGGAAAGGTCTTCTGCATCTTAAACTCAAAGCTGCTCGAAGCCATGTTTCTATATTAACGATGGATCGCCTGACTCAGTACAATGCACAGAGTGTCAGTGGTGCTGACAAACCCGCGGACGATTATTACCGAGTAGTTCCATGGGGCATTTTCAGCTCATCGCTTTGCTTTTATGGTCTGCAGCTTTAACGTGTCGCTCTGATGAATCTCATTTTTAGCAGCAGGAGGCCGTTGCCTTCAGTGAAAATAAAGGCCTCCGATCACCCCAGCTGTCCAGCAGAAACAACAGCAAATCAGCAAGCAGCTTCTATTAGCAGGGTCGAAAGGAGAGTGGCTATTGCAGCTACATTCGTCAGCTGGCCAGAAACACGTCTCTTAATATATCTGTTTGCTAGCACCTCCCCGAACCAACCAGTATGTTATTGGTACGGGGAGGTACCAATAACATATTTATGAGGTGATAAATCTGAGTCGGTCTTGTTTTTGGTGCCACCAAGTGGTCCAGAAAACACTATTTTGACCCAAATAACAAACCAATAGTTTTTAAAAAATGCTTCAATTCAACTGTTTTGTTTTTTTTTGTTTTTTTCACAGAGGATACAGAACACGACAGACACCTTGCTGAATTTAACCGGACGGAATATGACGGACTTCCTGGTCAAGACTTTTGAGAAGTCTGGTAAAACAAGGTAACGTTTATAACTGTGTTTGCTGTTGTGAATGGCGGTGTGTCTATCTTTAGAAGATCAGCAACGGTAACATGAGCAAAAGGTCCTGCACGTCGTGCTGTCGTTCCCATCCTCGTCGTTATGCAGTTATCGTGTTCGAGCAAATCCTGCCTGGCCGCTCTGTGATGCACTCTCCTTAACCTGTCATCTCAGTGCGTGAAACCATAAAGAGCAAACTGTCAGTGAGAGGAATGATTAATTGTAAGCGTTAGGCTGGTGTGTTTGCTCAGCCCTGTTTCATCACGATTCCAGAGCGTGTTGGACATGTACACGTATTTCCTCTGTGCAGTGTGTGCTCGTGCTGTATATGTATAGCACAGGGGTCGGCAACCTGCGGCTCTTTAGTCTTTATTTTGCGGCTCCAGGTGGTTTGGGAGAATAAATTAGAAGTAATTAGCTGAAGTGTCTTTTATTTGTGTTTAGTTCTAAATTGGAAGATTATTGTGATTTTGAAATATAAAAACAAAATTATTTCTTATTATTTTTTCATCGCGCAAAATAAGCGTCACACTAGCAGAAGCCGGTGTACTCGCCGAAACGCCGTGCATATATCGAGACTTTCGACCCCAGGTAGGCCAATTATGGATCTTCGGATCCACATTATGTCGGCAGCTCCACCGTGAACTATGTTAAAAACAAACACCGCTCACGCCTCACAGACGACAGCTTACAGTCCTGCATAAAGATGAAAGTGACTTCGTACCACGGCAGACCCGCTGCTTTTCAGCATCTCTTTATTGACCACTTTTCACACACGGTTGCTGTACAGACGGCTGTAGCTTTTCTGCTCACAGCCCGACAACACAACCGCAGAGAGAGCACAGACGTTAAGGCGGCGAGGCGTGATTGCGGGTGCCGCTCAGGTGCGTCCGCCTCCCCTGCAGCGGCGCTGCAGACCACGCCCCGCCACACACATTAACCAGGTAAAATACATATTTAGGCAGAATTTTGCAAATGTATATTTTTCATTTTTCAGCAGCATAGTGCTTTTTTCTAATTACTTTTTAAAAGTCAGGCCAAGGCTCCAAAAGCCCAAAGGCGATATAAGGGTGGCGGCTCACAACAGTTTTTGTTTGCTGGATCATTTTAGTCCAGCTGGGTGTCTTTCCTTTTGTTATATTTCTTTAAGAGTTCAAAATGTGTTAATTACATAAATAAAATGTAATTTTCTCTGTAGCACTTCATGGATTTCATAAGCAACACACCTTAGTTGCTCTGTGGATTCTTTTAAAAAGCAGTTAAAAACGTTTCTGTTCAAACAAGCTTTTTGTTGATCTACATATTTTATATTCTTTACATTATTTACATTTGATCTGTTAAAATGTGTATAATTTCTATTGATTGTATTGTTTATTTTAATATTTGTGTACAGCGCTTTGTGACTGCTTGTCTGTGAAAAGCGCTTAATAAATAAACTTTACTTACTTACTTTAGTTGTTCACATAAAGCATAAAGGTAAAAAAACAATATATACAGTGTTATCTTCATTTTAGATTTTAAAAAGTATTCGCGGCTCCCAGTGTTTCCTTTTGCGTGGAAACCGGGTCCAAGTGGCTCTTTGGGTGTTAAAGGTTGCAGACCCCTGGTATAGCATATGCGGCGCGAGCGCAAGAATGCACATCCACGTGTGTGTGTGCGTGTGCCCAGGGGTGTAAACGTGAGGGGTGTATTGAAATTGTCAACTTGCTGTGAGCCTGGAAAAAGCGATAAATTGAAGCATCATTTTCATCTGCAATTTTGGAAAGCTGATAAAAAAAAGCTCTTCCTTCAGGGCAGAGAAAAAATTGATGGACAGAGTCCAGATGGAGCTTCTAAGGCAGGGGTGTGAAACACAAGGCCTGGGGGCCAGAATCTAGCCGGCAAAGATTCCAATCCGGCCCACTGGACAGCTTTGGGAAATGTGATCGAGGGGATGAATTTGGAACTTTTTATAGACTTTTTACTGTGTTTTCATAGGGTTTTCCTGCTGGTAAATTCATATACACCAAACTAATTGAGTAAGCAATTATAATAAATAAATTATAGTTACAATTTACGATTTACTGTTGAAATCTGCTTTTTTCCCAAATGGTCCCACAGTTGAAAAGCTTAGATTTCTTAGAATTTAAGTCCAAAGAGTCACACTGACAAATGTCTTTCCTTTGCTACAGCAGCATTTCTTTATCACGTTGACAAACTCTTAAAATTGCACTTCTTTATTGTCTCTACTTCTTTAGATATTTAGATAAATGCGAGTTAAACTTCTCTACACTGACGGGGCGTTTACACTCATCCAGCCAACGATGTAAAATGAGTTTGACATCCCTGATCTAAGCGGTCGATTTGCCTTTAATTTGTTGGAGATAGTAGCTCATTTCCAGATTCCACATTGGAATTGATACCAATATTTATCATATAAACGTCGGTGAACTTGAAAAAAATAGTTGTGAACGCAGCTTGGAGTGCTTTAATATGGCCTGTAACATGCTAATGAGCAAGCAGCATTGGCGTGACTCTGAGGGGGAGCCACAGCCGCAGGTCCCATCATCACAATGTTATATCACAAGCTGACCTCGAAAAGGTTTCACTTAAAAGTAATTTCACGTAGTCATTTTCCGGGGCGCCTCTGTAGCCTTAATAGTAAGGATGCAAACCGAGCAACCGAATCGTCCCCGATTTCACTGCCGGCTGCGTGGACCCTCCAGCCTTACTCCCCCACCCTCACTTCCTGTCTATCACCACCGCTGCGCTCAGATGAAGGCGTCTATACCAAACTAATACAAATGTTATAAGCAGCGATGCGAGTTGTCTGTTTTATTGGATCGTATTAAGCCCGTATGTCTAATGAATGTTTCTTAGGCAATAACTTGTGACACGAGCAGAGTAATAATAGTGTTTCACATTTCTCCTATGCCCCTGATATAATGAGGACCTAAAAAAAAAGCGAGACAGAAATAGTGTTGTGAAAGCTCAGGGTGAAAAAACCGCATGTAGTAATTACAGTGTGTGTGTGATCATGCTGTTGGGTGGGGGGATGTGCTGAGGCTTCCCTATATATGTGTGAGTTAATTCATGTGTGATTACCATGATAACTGCACATGAGGTCTTAGCTGATTTGTTGATTTATTTGCACAGGCATGAAAGTAGATGCCTTTAAAGAGAGAGAGAGAGTGTGTGTGTGTGCATTTCTGATTACTTTCCTGACACTGCAGGTACGGAGGGATCTCCGTCGGAGCAATCAACTCTCAAGTTCGTGTGACGGAGGCAGCAATCACGGATACATTCAGAGATCTAAAAGGCCTATTCAGTTCAGCTCAGGTATGTGATAAATATTGGCATTCACAAAGTCAAACTTGTTGATACCACTGGATTATTTGAATTTCTTTTATGGTGTAGAAAAGTAGTACAATGTAGTGCAAGGCCAGAAGTTGTACTGTTGGAAAATATCCCATGGGCATCTACAAAGACACACAAAACCTTGAAATTAGTTTTTTTTTTTTTTCCATCTTTCTGTTCCTGCACCACATACTGTACATAAAAATGATGGCAACAAGAAAAGACCTGCCTCAGATCAGCAGTGTGATGATACCTGAAATGTCTTTGAAAAAGAAGAAATTTGTTGCACTATTTGTTCATCCTTTGTAAGAACATTACAGGCATGGCTCAAGGTCACGTGAGTCTGGTCTGCAACTTTGCTCTAGAGTCAGTTATCCACCCAAATATTACAGGCATTGCCATGAAATCTTCCAGGCAGACCCCCCCATGCTGACTCCTGTTAACATTCTGTATTTTGAAACCAAGTGCCTGCAGCATCGGACGCTTTACCACAGACATTGTACCTAGAAGCCTTTGAAAATCCTCATATAATAATATAACATAACATTATAATATAATATAAGCACATTCTAACTGTACTATCACACTTTATTTAGTAGTACATTAATGAGACGCAACAAGCTGTGGCCTACTTTGTATCAATTTAGACAAACTTGTAAAAAGCACCATAAAAACACTAGTCTACTACACCTCACACAGAAATTGACCTTATTCAAGCTCCACAGCAGCGTCAACACAGACATAGCACCACACATCCCAAACAGCAAAGCGATTTTAATTCCCAATAAAGTTTGCAATATATGACTAAATGAAATACCCAGTAATTAACAAGTGCAAACGTGGATAAATTTGTTATTATTGTGCATTAAATGGTCTTATAGCAGCTGGTTACACACAGTGTCACATATACAGTAATGACACTGTATGTAACATATATCGCACTTTCCCAATATAACAGTATGTCAAACCACACCACCCTATCTCTTCTCCCACTTGGATGTTGTTTGGACTCCTGCGAAATTTCTCTTGGATACGTCGCCGACACTTCGGTCCCATACAGGTTAAGACACGTCACCTCACCCTCCAACCCAAGCCATCCAAATAAACCCATCTGGGCTCTGAGTTGCGATATTGCAACTATGTGACCTGCTGCGTGCTGACTTGAGTTCACAGTGCAGTTTTCTTGTTATAAGCAATAACTGACCCTCTTATAAAGTACAGCTGTGTTAACAAAAGACCCTTTAAATATGTTTCCTTCAAGCGCACCATTTAAATTTCTAATAAAGTATATAATCATATAATTGGATCTCACATTGTTCTAGGTAGTGCATTACTACTGATTAGGCCTTAATTTAAATGTAAGGTAGCTAATTAGGATATGAGCATGTTTATTTACCGTCTAATAAAGAACATTTTCATCCTAGTTGTGTTTCGCTTGATTCAAAACAAGTTTTATTACATTCAACATAAACCGATTGCCGCTGAAGTCACGACAGATTCTTCTAAATTTCTACTTTTTAATCTACTGTCATAATCAGGATATTTAACATGTCCAGCAGGTTGATTTATAACTAGAACGCTTCAAAGCTACTCCCAACACTGCTTCCAGGTTCTCCTTGAACCTTTATCAGTGTAAAAAGTGCCACAGCCGTCTTTGTATAAACATTGCTTCGGTGCTCATTCATCTATAGAAATGACAAATAAATAAACCGCAAGCCATCATCGGCGTCGTGTTACGACCCAACGCTAAATGTTTGTAGCAGTTTTGTGAGTGAAGAGGCTGCTCTCCCTCCTGTCAAGGCTGCGGCTCGCCGCTTTTATTTCGACTGCGCCGCTCCTAATTGGAGCGTTGAGTTCTTTATTCAGACAGCTTTGTATCTTGGATACCGGTGATGTCACTCGCGGTGGACTTTTGGACTCCGCTGATTTCTCGAACAATTGAGAGAGAGGACCGAATTCAAAAGGAAGGAGGAGGTTTAATTCCTTCAGATCCATTTTGTTGAGTGTCCATGGCAACAAGCTGCTATTGTCTGAGCGCCGCTGTGAATAAATCGAAAAATCTTGTGCACAAGATCGCACAATCCGGCAAATCCGCTCCCCATACCGCATTACTTAACCTTCTTATTAATGAAGTTCATTCAGTTTCAGGGTTTTCTTTTCTGTATTCTTTAACTTCTTCCATTCAGTCTGCTCAGTGCCTGCATCAGGACTCAAACTCTTAGGAATGTGTAGTGTTTTCTTAAATTTCATGCCCACTCACTTGTCACCTCCCCGTGCCTCTCCCTCTGTCTCGCTCCCTCAGAGTCTGTCGTTAACATTTTAAATTTTGGACGTTCAAACTACACCGTCGCTTTGCCCCCGGGGGTCTCCGGTCTCATCCCTCACCGAGGCTCTCTCCTCTTGTCTCCCCAGAACCTCGACGCTAATGTGACTTTAATTTGTGCAGCAGCGATGATGTAACTCTAATGGCCGGGCATTAGCCGTCCCAGCTCTGCATTCCTTGTTATTAAAGTGCTACACTGTCCTTGGGAAATGTCTGCTTCTCTTCTGCTGCTCCTGCTGCTGCTCTGCAGGCGTTGCGACGTGAGACTCTTAACTGGAAGTAACGTGTTTTTGCACTCGCAGCCACCTGCGCCAACTGGGAAGTGGGCTTTGAAATTTCTGTTTCATTGCATTTTCTATGTCTAGCAGGTAGAAAATGGAGCTCTGAGAAGCAGGAGGCGATGGGAATGGAAAGAACAAGAGAGGCTGTGCGGTGGGAAGTGTATAATTAAGAACCCCCACCCTCCCCCCGCCTCAGAGGAGCCACTGTTTCATGTAGATAGCGTTAATGATACGCAGCTCCCCGAAATGCTTGCGTAACCCATTTTTATTATTTAAATTATTCACAGGAACAAGCCCCTTAATTTAATAAACTGTAAACTTCAGATTCCTGGAACACACACATATTAACACACTTGCCACACAGGCCGTTTGACCGCTGAACTACGCGGGCCGATTTTGGAAAAAGTCGCCGCACACTCGAGTGGCTTTATTGCCGCGTCGTGAGCCACTGCACCGATGGGGTCCTCTGGCCAAACCAGCCTTGTCATTGTCCTTGAGCGGGGGAGAGTTTGTCAAGGATTAGACGCGGCCAGCCGCTGGCAGGCACACTTCTCATCCCGTCCTCAGCGACGGCTAATCCTCAGGACGGCTTCCTATTTGGAGCCACTTGGCACAACTCAAACCCGAGTGAAGGGAAAACAGGAAACACGGGCAGAGGTCGCCCGTGCTGCTGCTTTAGGACGAAAGCAGAAGACTTGTTCTCCGCCTCGAGTATGAATAAGTAATGAGCTGGAACAGAGGGGGATGTTATTTAGCGCTCTCCTCTTATTTCAGGGTGCATTGCTGAAATGATGTGTAAACACTGTGTTTAGGCGCAGATGTGTCCAGATGTTTCTAAGGCCAGCCACAAGGTGCTAAACAATTGGATGAGTTTTGAACAGAGAGAAAAAAAAAGAAAGAGGCAGAGTATGATCTCCTCGGCCCGTTGTCCTCAGGTAACCGTCTGAGCTGAGCGGCTGGAGAGATCTCTTTTCTCCCCCCCCCCTTCCCACTCCCACTCTCTCTGTTTCGCTGCAGACAGCCACTCACACCTGAGCACCTTCCTGCATTCTCGGGATGTCTTTCTTGATTTTTCTCCTCTTATTTTTCCCCGCCGCCCCGCCCCTCGCTCTCCAGTTGTCACCTGCACTTTGCCTCCGTAAACCTCTCCTCCTCACTCCGTGCCACGTTCGCTGCCCCTCCTCTTCCACAGCCCCTCTGATGAAGGCAGAAGTCCAACAGGAGGTCCATTTGCATTTATATCACACATGTAATGTGCTCAGTAGTCTTATGGCCGGGGCCGAACAGCATGGTATCAACACGACACTTTGGGAATGGCACGCCTGTCATCTCGAGCCCTCATCCCAAGGCTCATTTCACATGAAACATGAGTGCAGCAGAGGAGATTTTAATGCAACCTGTCCGGGCTACCATCGCTCTCCCTCCCTCCCATTTTCATCACCTCACCACAAAGCCCGGCTGACACTCTGAAAATCATCCCTGTGCTTGTGTTTTATTTGTAACTAAACCCTCTCCCACCCCCTTAAAGCCGATTGGTTCATTTGGTATGTAGGCTGCTAGTGCTAACTGTGAATCTTTGTGCTCATCCCATCTTTTACAGTTATTTTACATAATTTAATAAAGCAGTAATGTCGAAAAGAGCTGGGGGAGGGGGAAGTAACAAGAATAACAAGGGGACACCCCCAACCTTAACCCCACCCCCTCCACCGCCACCCCTCAAGTCGGAGGAAAATAAATGGTTCAGCACACCCCCAAAAGGCTCCCTGGAAATCCTGATTCTCATGTCTCTCTCTCCCTTCTCCCTCATGTTTTTGCATTTCAAAGAGCAGCGGTGGTCTTCCGAGTGTGTCCAATTAAGTCTCCCAACTCATTTCTTATTTCTTGTTTTCCTCTTCATTAGGATAACGTGACTGATCAGGTCTACCAAAGCGCTGAGACGCTGCTCAAGAACCTGGGAACCAGGGACAACGTCAAGGTATTGTTGTGAATGTACATTACACCGAACACGGGATGAACGTTTAACGACCGCAGAGGTGAAATCAGCCTCGTGCGGTGCAAAAACAGGCTACAGAGGCAGCGAATACCCAAACACAAGGCCACCAACTCATCTATCTCACTCAAGCCAAATGCTTGATATAGAATTGTGATGCTTTAACTGCATAATGAGCCTCATTGTGGGTTAAGACCTGTATAACTGAATTTAAATCAAAAGCAGACAGTGCTATAAATAATTTAGCAGCTACATCCTGGTGATTTAGTCTCTAACTAAACTAAAGAAAAAAATGTGATCACTTGTTGCTATTCTGAAGCCTTTCTGTTCTGCTGTGCTAAACGTAAAAAACCCACAAAAAAACCTGCTAACCCAAACTTGAGCTTTCCAAGCGGCGATAAATGAATTTGTGTTTCCATTTTCCATCTGGTAATGAATTAAAAAGGAGTCTTGAAGTAAGTAAGCGCGCTCTGCGAGTTGAGTACATTTGTGTTTAATGCTGAAATACTGCCGAAGCTGTCCTATAAAAGTGTCTCACACTTATATTTCTCATTCTGAGGGAAGAAAATTTGCTTCTCCCCCAGAAGCACTTTGATGCTTAAAGTAGTTTCAGAAGTGGAAATGTGGCTTGCCATCATATCTTACATATTTTTCGCTCTATCACCCTCATGTATTTAGCAGACAAGCTTAGCTTACGATCTGTTACCTCGCATACATCAAATGGTATTTTAGCTGTAGACCTTTCAGAAACTGCTGGATGGGAGGAAAAAAACAAAAAACAAAAAAAACAAAACAGAAAATAATATCTATTTTTGTCGATCTCCTCTTGTGAGATACAAGAAGAAAGGAGAACACAGCAGCAAGCAGACAGAAA